AACACTAAAAGTAAAGGCGTACACGTCGGCTACTTTTCCTCCTCCTCCTCCTCCTCCTCCTCCTCCTCCTCCTCCTCCTCCTCCTCCTCCCACAAAAACAGGGGAGAACAAGACTGTTGCCTAGATTAGTATTCCACTTACTAAATGCATACAGATCACTAAGCCAGGTTCATACAACATAAAGGGAAACTGCTTGATATCTTTTGAAACAGGCCTGTTTTCACCCTTAAGCATCAATAATTAGTACTAAGAAGTGTATCCTACAGCAGTTGTCCCTCTGCCTAACAGATGTGTCCAGATTGCAACTCTCAGAATTCCTGGTCTCTCTGTATCTAGAGGGAACCATGTTGGGAGAAGTGTCCTGTATTACCATATAGAAGGCTGTATCTTTTATGACAATTGTCCCTGCTCTTCATATGAGTGTTTACGGAAGTGCTATGAAATGGGGTGTCCAACATGACACAACTGAAGCCAAGTGCAATGAAATTGGGGCTTCAGTTACTCCCTTGGAAGGTAGATAGAATCTATTTGTTTTCCTTGATGATCCTTAAACCACCTCGTGAGATGGCCTTCCAAATATCATAACTGTAGCCCCCTGGGAATTGCCCAGTCATGTTGGGTCCATTATCGATTATGCTGTCCATTTTGATCTCCAAACTGTCAAAGCAGTTTTCATCTGCTTTTTGTTTTATCTGCCTGTGCAATTCATAGTTGGTTGTTTCTTTCTTTACAGTCTGTTCAAAGGACAACTTGTGCCTGGTGACTACTCTTGAAATATTGTCGTCAGCAATACGATGCATATTCTACCCAGAAACACAGAGTTGTACTCTTAGTCTCCAAGGCCACCATTGCCGTATTTTGCTCAAGGAGCCAGCTGCTTACATCTATCGAAAGCAAGGTATGTACGTGGCAAAAGATTAAAAATGCATGGCTTGTTAATCTTTGCTTTCCCTGAAACACAAAAGCAGGAGATACAATGGAAATAAACCAGCATGGTGGGCAGAGGTCTTACAGCTGTTGAATAATATCAAGTTTGGTCAAGAATAGAAGAATACTTTATAGCTTACAAGCTCAGTACAGTATGAAGCTGCCCCCAATCAAAGGCATAGAAGAAAAGCACAGCTAATTTTGAACTATATGGCCAAACCAAACTAAAATGAGAAAATATTGCAGAGCTTCCAGGTGAGGTTCTATGGTGGATTAGATGTCCCTGAAGGAGTGGGGATGGCATTGTGGTGGAGATTGGTGGCCAGATGTCGAATTCTGGCCAGAACTGTCTTCCTGGATATAGGAGATAATGTGAAATCACCCGCTTGCATTCTGGACAGCTGCTCCTCATGAGTAGACTGCCGAAACTGAGGTTTTTGGGGTTGACTTGTGAGTTGAGTGACTAGGAGTTGAGGGATTTCAACCAGGCTCACAGATGTGATGCAGCCTATATGAACACAAGTTTGCACAAGCTTCACTTTCTTAAAAATGTTTGGATGTGATTAAATTCAGCTAAAGAGAGATTTTCTGAATGGCAGGATAAGAGAATTGTACCTGGTGAGTCAACATTCTTTATTGAATGTTAAAAAGAAAAAAAAGGGGGGTTAAAGAAAGGAGAGAAGGGAGGGGGGGGGGGGGGGGTTAAAGATTTAAAAACTTTTGGCAAAAAGCTTAACAAGGAGTGGATGTAAGAAAGTTTAAAATGGATAAAGAGATAGTTATTTTGAAGGGGGGGTTTTTTGGTGAAAGTGCTTTTGAATAAATTGGAATTAAAATAGACAAGTGAACTAGACCTTCATGGGAATGTTTTTGTTTATTCTGAAAGAGTGCAGACAATTGGTGGATTTTATGAAACAAAAGAAAAAGGTAATATGAGCCAGACTGTGATGCTGACTGTAACTACGGAGTGCCATTTGAGAACAGTCCTGTAAAGGACTTATGGAGAGACTGTTTCTCTTATGAAAATTGGTGTTTGGCGGGGGATGGGACTGGAGCGATCTCCACACAACTGGATAGAACTGAGAAAAATATCAAAATCACTCAAGGCAAATTGCCAAAAGTTTTCTTTGATCTGATGGACAACTTAGGGCTTGTGGACACATGGAGACAGAAAAATGGCAATTCAAGAGAGTACACTTACTTTTCTGAAAGACATAGATCCTTTCCAAGAATAGATATGATATGAATTTCAAAGAATTTGGCTATTAAGATTTCTAAAGTAGAGATATTACCAAAGACTTATAATCCTGTGAGTTTGGTTTATAAAAGGAAATCCAGTTCTTTAGACAGAGACTAATTGAAATCTTGTTACAGAAAGAAGCAGTAGTGGAGGATTGTAAAAAGAAATTAAAAGAATTTTTTGAAAATAATTTATATAAAGGTACTGATTTAAGAATGGTTTGGGACACAAGTAAAGCTTTCATCAGAGGTTATTTCATACAACATAATAGTGAACTCAAAAAGAAGAGGCAAGAGAAAACACAAGCTATTTTGGATGAGATCAAGAGAAAAGAAGAATTAAAGACATTTCCAGAGAAGATAAGTATTTATCAACAAATTAAGTGTTTACAACAACAGTTATCTATGTTAATAGTAAGAGAAATGGAAATAAAAATGAGCTATGTAAAGCAAAAAAACTGAGTTTTCAAACAAACCGAGGAAATGGTTGGCATATAAATTACAAAAAGAAAAAGAAAAGAAAATGATATTGAAACTACCAGATGGAGATACTGTATTAACAGATAGCAGGGCAATGTAAAAAAACATTTCATCAATATTGCTGTAACTTCTATAAAGCAAGTGACATTTCTCTGAAGAAAAATAGATGAATGCCTAAAGAAACAAAATTGACGGAAGATTACAGAGGAACAGAAACAGATTATGAATGGACCTATAACAATAAGGGAACTTTCTGAAGCTATAAAAAAGATTAAACCAGGAAAGGTGCCTGGACCAGATGGACTATCAGGTTCTTATTATAAATGTTTGAGGATGTACTTTTAAAACTTTTACAAAATACGAGGAACTCTATCTTACAGGGAGAAAAGATGTCAGAGAATTAGAAAGAGGCCAATATAGTACTAATATCTAAGTTAAGGGCTTTTGCAGATGACTGGTGTTGGTTTTGGAAGATCCTTTAAAAGGAATTGAAACATTAATGGAAAAATTAAAAGAATTTGGTACGTTAACAGGTTTTAAGATCAACAGACAGAAGACAAAGATGTTATCAAAATACATGAAAATAGAAGATCAAACAGAATTGATGAATAAAATGGGTTTTAGGATTGAGAAGAAAGTAAAATATCTGGGTACTCCTATGACAAATATGAATTGTATGTTAATTCAGAATAACTATGTTAATACATGGAATGAAGTAAAAAAAAGATATGTTAAGACGGGAGAAACTACAACTGTCATTGCTGGGGAGAATTTCTGTGATAAAAATGAATGTCCTGCCTAGAATGATGTTTTTGTTTCAGACAATACTTATTTTGACAACTGAGGCACCATTTAAATAGTGGCAAAAGAGCGTGTCTAAATTTGTGCGGCAGGGCAAAAAACCACAAGTTAAATATAAGAGATTACAAGATGCAAAGGAAAGAGGACGATTGGGTCTACAGTACCTGATTTGAAATTGAATTTTGCAGCTTGCTGTTTGGTTTGGATGAAAGAGTGGGTGCTGCTGAGAAATAGAAGGCTTTTGGAGTTAGAAGAACATGACCTGAGATTTGGGTGGCATGGGTATCTGTGGTACGACAAAGTCAAGGCTAGTGCAGATTTTGAAAATCAGCATGTTAGACATGCCATATTGAGAATATGGAATAGATACAAATCCAGGTTGTGCCCGAAAACACCTTTGTGGCTCTCAGCGCAAGAAGCACTTTATAGATGAGAAATAATAGGCAGACACAAATGGCTAACTTATCATGAGATACTAGAATTTTGTAAGAGGAATATAAAATAAAATCAAGAGAAGAACTGATGGCAGAGGGACATAGTTGCCAATGGTTTTCTTATTTACAGTTATTAGAA